CTTGCAGTTATTGAGGTGATCATATGAATTTATCTTTGATCCTCTCAGTACTGTGAATGTTTATAATGTTATACCAGCCTTATATCCTTGAGATAAACATTATATGGTTATGGTTTGTTATACTTCATTCTATATAGCTTGATTACATTGGATAATATTGTGTTAGTGATTTTGTGTGTCTTACGAAAGACATTGATGTATATTTTTTTTTTTCTTGAATGCCCTTGAAGTCTGGATATTGGGGTTATGCAGGTATAGTAAAATGAGTTAGCAATATTTTTCCTCCCATTTTGTGAAGTAGTTTAAAATGCTCACTATTTATTTTTTTAAATGTTTGATAGAACATTTACCACTGAAATCATCTAGGTCAAAAGTTTTCTTTAGGGATTGGTTTCAATACTATCATTTTGATGTTTTTAATTATATCTATGGCGATTAAAATTTTCTATTGCTTCTGGTATAAATTTGACTAATATTTAAAGAAGAATTTGTCCATTTCACTTACAATGATGTATCTGTTGCTATAAAGTTGTTCCTAAAATTCATTTATTATCCAATTTAATGTGTATAAAATCTGTAGTGTTTTCCTCACCGTAATTCCTGAAATGACTTTCACATTATTTCATAGTGGTTAGATATTAGTCAATCCTGAATTATTTTAATTATAATTGTCCCTCCTTTTAGTTTCTATAATCAGTGCTTCTTAATCTCCCGATTCCATAGCCAATGCTTCTTTGTCTCCATGTACTTGTTTTACTCTCTTTTTTTAAAATGAACTGCTCCTTCCTTCCTACCACTACAATTACCTAGAAATGAATTTTTCGGTTGTTTTAGTTTTATATAAGCTACCTATTTTATTCTAGGAAATTTTTATCTAATAAGCAACAATTGATTATTTTGAACCAATCAAATCTGACTCCAAAAATAGTTCCCACTTTTGAACTTTGGTAAGTTGCAATACCTTTCAGATTTTCTGACAAAGAACTGAAAATCTGGTGCCAGTGTAAATGTTTGAATTTATCATCCAGAGTTCATGGTATTAGAAGTGTTCTAATAAAGTTCTGGTCAGTAAAACATAAAAGTAGTTGGGAAGTATAAAATCTTAGCTGAAAATTAGATATGTCTTTGAAGACAGTCTCATGCCATTTGTTAGAATTAAGAGATTAAAATTAAAATTAAAATATATACCTATATCTCTATGCATATAATGCAGAGGCCATGGAAAATATATATCATTCATAGTCCCAGTATCTTAACTACTGTCATTTTTATGTTTCCATTTTTATGTGTTCTTTTTATTTTTTTATGTATTTTATATATTTTGTACATCATTTTTCATTTTTGCACAATGTATGCATTTTCATCTTGTTTATATTTCCCATACAATTCCCACCCCCCTTATTTTGACCCTATTCTCCCCTCTCCCCCACCCCATAGTGTGTCTCTGGTTTATAGTTGCTTGTTGATTTTGATTTTTACTTCCATATGATCCAACAATTCCACTCCTAGGTATTTACCCAAAGAACACAGAATCAACTCAAAAGGGCACCTGCACCCCTATGTTTATGGTAGCACTATTTACAATAGCTAAGCTATGAAAACAACCCAAATGCGCAAAAATAGATGACTGGATCAAGAAGATATACATATACACCATGGAATATTACTCAGCAATCCATTTGTTCTTTTTATGCATAGATTTTTTTTCACTTGGTTATAAATAATCGGTTATATTTTTATTTCATTCACTTAACACTATATCATATATGTGTATTCAAGACTCTATAATTTTCTTTTCCTTTACTTTTAATGATGGCAAAATAGTCAAGTTTCTGCACCAAAATATAACTGTTTCCCTACTTTGACACGCTTGGATTTTTCTCCCACTATTTCAATTCTTTAAACAATGTTGAGACAGGACCATCTTCACACATAGAACTTTCCCCAATATTTTGTATAGTTTAATTAGGGCAGATTGGTAGGGTTTGGATTATAATCAGGTGTTAAATAGCCAAGTCAAGGGTGTTTTGTTGTTGTTGTTGTTAAATGGCTAACTGCAGAGACTTCTTGATCCCAATCTTTCTACTGGAATTCCTCTTTCAATGAGAATGGTGATTACTGTTGTTTTCTTGGGCTATCAATTTGGCATGCTAAAAACAAAATTTTTGAGAACTGAAGGTAAGACATTGTGCAATGAAATAAATGAAAAAAATTAAGCCTTCCTAGATCACAGATTTGTAAGGAATGCAGGTCTAGGGGATGGATATGGTGAAGAAGTGGTGGGCCTCGTTGTGTCGTTAATTCTATTGAAAAGTAAGAAGACATGTAGTATCTCCAAAAGTCCTGCTGCCGAGAGATCTGAGACATCCACCTGGAAGGCCCTTGTTACAAGGAAAAGTCATTTTAAATATTGAGTTCTCCAATAATTCAAAGCTTAAAACAGTATGATTGTTTCTAAGATTCTTGGCTATTATATCGTCTTCTATTCAGAGGAAGGCATGACAAGGATTTCATAGAATTCCTCATAGAGAATGTTGTATGATCTAATAAATCCTGGGACAACAGCCTTTGTACTTGAAAGTGTCAAGGAGTCTTTCAACTACTTCCTTAGCACAAGGTTTAAGTCATGTATGAAAGGGACAACTCCATTTTATTTGTAATTTTTTAATTAAAAGGAGAAAGGTTACCCACCCTGATCATCGTGCTCAAAAATAATTACTGAAAGTTATTCAAAATGCTGTGATCCCATTGGACTGGCCTTACCCCAAATTTGAACACCTTAATATTTCATTTTCACTGACTGAATGGTCTTAGGATGAAGGAAAAGAGAATGAAATAATTCCTTATTTGCCATGTATTTGATTTTGAGTAGTTAACAGCTAATATAATTTCTGAAGAAATAATGGTATTCTCCTCTCCTTTTGTTTCCTCCTGTATATCAGCTTGTACACCTTTCTATGTTAAGTCCTGAGTATTGGTTAGTCACCCACCCTACCTCTCCAATCCCTTCCACCCGTCCCCCCGGCACTGCAACTCAGTACATTTACTGTGCCACATTTAATTTTCAATGATTTTTAAAATGATGTTTGAGTTGAGATATTGTGTAGAAATGTCAGGGCTACTGACTTGTCAACTTCATTATGCTTTGCTTCGGTGATTGCTTCCTAAACGTTAATTACATTGCACAGACACCATGTCTATTGTTTTTAGTTTTTTCCCCCCTTAAACTATGAACTTTAGATTGCTTTAAAAATTAAATGCAGCTAATTAGTGTTTATAATATTCTCTTAATTAAACACAGTTGGAAGTCTAGGCTACGTATAATACGAAACACTGACAGCATTGCCAAAAGATAGCCCACACCCAGTTCATTTTCTGTGACAAGTAGTTTGTAAATGATTACAGATCATGCCACATTTGTCAACCTATGTGTATTCTGATGTCAAGATACCTTAGAGATATAAATGACTACTTATCTCTAAGCATAGTGGATGTCATCCATGTGTTAGTCACACTTGCTCATGAGTAAATGCTTTTAGGTGACACTGCATCAAAGAAAGTTATAGTGGGCCCAAAGAGTGATTCAGAGGTCTATGCCTTGATGGTAGTATTTCTATAAATTTAGCATGATCGAAGAATCAGATGTCCTGCTTAATCAAATAATACGCCTTGTACCTCTCCCAAGAAATGTGAATTTAGCGAGATAGACTTAAATGTGAGACTATAATGAATGGAGTATAGTCTTTCTTTGAATATTCAGAAGGCACTTCCAGTTTATGCTGTTCTTCAGGGTCATCATTAGAAATATCTATTATGGTATTGGCTGAAGCCCCAATCAATAGAGATTTCTTGCTGACAGAATGCCTGAACACAGACTGTTGACTGTAATTCACATGCTTTGTTGAAGATGAAACGGTCAGAGTCAGTTACTGTGGGCATTTTTAACCTTATATATTTGAAAGAAACATCAAATGAGACTCAGTTGGAAAATATTCTGGATATCCAAGCTTCTTTTCAGTAACTTGAGGCCCGGACTCTCTATAACATTGGCAGAGGAGGAAGAGCTCTGGCTTTGTATCTCTAAATACTATTAGAAGACTCATATATTAATAGCCATATGAATGCAATTTATAGGACATTTCAAATTCTTAACCTATTCAACATTTTTAATCCATATGTTCAAGCAACCTATGATATAACACTGAATTCTCTGAAGCTGTGGCTGTGAGAAAAATCATCATTGTTAGTCTCTATCTAGGGATGATCTCATTTCTTTTCACTTTATATGAAATCCATGAAAAACAAAGATTTAGGCCAGTCCTGGCTCTGCCCTGAATTCTCAATAAATCATGTCTAGTTAGAACTCAGTCCCAGCATGTCAGTGGTTGTTGAAAAACTTTGACATTAGAACTATAAAGGAAAGTTCTCTCCTGTCCAGGATATCTAGCTCAATGGTGCAATTTGGGTCTAAGTTTCAAAACTAGAAATTGATACCTTTAGTCAAGGATGCTGAGTTTCCAAATGACCTCTGTTAAAGTTAACTTCTTCTGGGAAGGCTAATCCATTTAGTTCTGATTAGTCATTCATCACTTTGAATAAGGTGTTGACAGGTAGACATCTGGAGAAGACATGAGAGAATGGAATATATAGATTGATCAAGTAATCTTTGATGAAGTAGTGGAAAGAGGAATAAATTTGAAGGATAAAGGAAAGATGCTATAGTAAGATCTTTTATTCTGTCTGGCAGCCACAAAATACCTGGGATTCTGAAGAAGTGACAGCAAAGGATGTGTGTGTACTCACACACATGTACAAGTATATTATTTCCAGAGCGAAAAGGCAGTGATTGCAGAGACAAACTTTACCTACTTTGTAAATTATGAGAACTGGTAAATTACTACTGAAGAATATTATTATTTAATTTTTATTATGGAAATCCCTTCCTGTTCTTGATGTGATTTTATGTATCTGTCAAATTTTCATATCACTTCTTGCATACATTGCCCCCCTTGTCAAAATTTTGCTCATTTTAAGTTGTCTGATTCAATGAGGGTCTAGTATGTGTTGTTCAAGTTTGGATTTATGACTTTCTCAACTAAACATACTTACTTTTGAGTCATGAAATCAGATGTGTCTATATATGTGTACATTTCAAGTGATATGTTAGGCAGTTTACTTGCCTTTGAGATATATGAGTTTAAGTAAACTGAAACTCTATAAACCTCTGTTTTCAGAACTATAATAAGAAGAATGAGATGATGATGACTACAATGATGTTAGCCAACAGTGAGAAAGTATGTGAACTTATTGTGTACCTCACACTAGTCTAGGAGTTTTGTATGTATTATTTAAATAGTGTGTGATGTTATTTTTCCATTATCATATTAGATATGTTCATTGTAAGGAAAAAAATAGGCAATAAAAAGAAAAAAATAAGAATTTGTCTTTAGTGCCATATCTAATAATAACCTAAGAATTCTACCATCTAACCGTTGTTGGTACCTTGATGATGTACACACTTTCAAAATTTATGCTACAAAATACAACCAACGTATGTTCTTTTAAATTCTCATATCACTGTTGCAAGGTAGATGCTGTTCTTCCAGTTTTATAAATGAGAAAACATGAAGTGAATTGAAGAGCTGGTAGTAAAACTCAGGTCTCTCTGAATCAAATTTTTCTCCAATATGCTCCTCATTCTTCTGTAATAGATGTATTTAAGAAGACATAATCCTTCCTTTAGCCATCTATGCCTTTAGAACTTAGAATGAGCTCCAAAATTTTTCATTTCTACTGCTTTACAATCCAACAACCCTGTAAGGAATCATTTTCATGTCAAATAAAGTTTGCCAAATGAAAAAGATTGACCATACCAGCTGAAGGAACAAGTCATCCAAAGTGATGATGGTATTTCTGGAAAAGGCCTATCTAAACCAGTCAACTTCTTCACTAAATGTAAGGTTTTTCTAAATTGTTATTTACACCAAAATTTCCTATTGAGTTGTAGTTAAGATTCTTGTACCAGAGAAAGTAAAAAAGTCGTTATTTTTTTTAATAATTATTTTTTAAAGATTTATTTATACAAGAACCAGGGTAGACCAGAGGTGTGGAAATGTGAGAGAATTCACCAGAGACAGAGCAGGGAGCAGAACAGGCAGATGAACTGAAGACATTGCTGAGGGATGCAGCGGGTGAGGCAGGAGAGGTCTGCCGCACCATGTGGATTTCTCACTGGCCGGCCGGTGCTGCAGAGGCTGCGGGCAGCTTCACAGTGCAGCCCTCAACCCACTGCACCTCTGGGGAGTCCCAAAAGTTTCATTCTTAACAATCAACAGAGGTGTCTTCAAATAACCATTTGTGCATCTTTATTCCCACTAAGGAAGAGGTAGACTCACTTGCAATAATTAGAACCTTTTGAATAAGCTAAAGTCTACTTGGGCCTTTACAACCATCCAGGGCCAAAGGGCAAAAATAGACTGTCTAGGAGCACTTGGCTACTTTTCTCCTATTCTTTTAGTATTCTTGGTTGCTTCCTGGCTTACCTTTAATTTTAATTCCCTGGAAATTATAAATTCTATTTTCTAGCAAAAGATGAACATGAAACTTTTCCTAAATAATGGAGAATCCAGGTGATAACCTAGAGTCCTTCTCCACAGTGCATAATCTGGATAGTTTGTACCCACAAATGGGTCAAACATATTGCATTCAATGTTCCACCAAGTCATGCCAAGTCAATGTTCTCATGGGTTTAGATTTCAAAAGAAAGGGCTAGGAGGTTTTGCATTTCCTGGCATGGTGTATACCTTTTAGTGAAATGAAAGACACTTTGCAGACCAAAAGCTGGCATGAAACATACCTTTGAGTTCATCAGCAAGCATGCCATATGTCACAAAATTCTACTGCTTCCTCTCTGTTATTTCATCTGAGTGCCTCTTTCCTGCACATGGCTCTCGCTTGCTCTTTAGTAAAACTGATAGTATAATTAATTGATGTAAATAACTTGAATTCAATTGGGCCTAAGTTAGTTATCTGCTAAATTAATAGTGTTCTGAGTTTGATACTCTTTGTGGGAAGCAATGTGTTATAGTGAAAAGGGCACCAGACTAGGAGCAATGAAACCTGGGTTCTCATCCAACATCTGCTAATGCCTTGTATGTTTTGTTAGTATTTGAAGCTTTGTTTTCTCATCTGTAAGTGGGAATAATAATATCCTCCTGATGTGCTATGTCAGAGGGACATAGGTTATGAATAATACTAATATATGTCAAATTTTAAAGATTGAAAATATTTAGAGCTAGATCAATATGCATAAAGAGATATATAGATGTTTATTTATATCTAAATTTTATGATTATATCTATGTATTAAACATAAATATACCTATAATATATACTACATATTTAGATATATATTTAAATACTTAGCTCTATACCTTCTAGTGAATGGCAGAATAGCTATATATTTGTGTAAACATAAATAAGAAGAACAGAAAGGAAAGTAAAAATTTCAATTTTTCCATAGAATACTTGCCATTCTGATTTTTCTAATGAAAAAGTAATATATACTCCATATAGAGACTAGGGAAAATATTTCAAAATGAAATTCATTCATGTTCATATAAAACAGAGATAATTGCTATTCATTTATTAATGTATTTCCTTTTAGTTTTAATTTTTTTCAAATAATTGGTAATAACCTCTATGTATGAGAGCTACTGTTTTTCTAATTTAAAATTAATTCTAGTTAATTGTAAAGACTTTAGGAGAAAGTTAAAATTCATTGTTGTCATCCTCTTCACATGAAACTAACTGGTTTAAACAATTTTTCATTATTAATTTAATTTTTGTGTCTTATTCTTCCATTTAATTTTCTATTCTAATGTTTTTGTAAAAATTAATATTTCTTCAAAACTATTTTGCTTTAAATTTTAAACATATATAGGTGTGGAGAGCATCATTGAATGAACCCAACACTTATCACATAACTTCAATAATTTTCAAAACATGTACAATCTTAATTTACCTATACCCAACCCAATTCCGTTTCTTACCTCCATAGATTTTTTGATATAAGTCTAAGATATCATATAATTTCATTCATAAAGCCTTTGTTTGTGATTACAAGGTATCTAGTCTCTTCAGCCTAACTCTAATACTGATTTACACCTTAGAAATAAACAGCAAATCTTTAATATCATCAGATGACCTTTACATTCGCAAATTTTTCAACTGTTTTCATAAATGTACATGTAGTTTTTTTTCAGTTCTTTGTTCAAAGGAGACTCCTAATAAGATGCATTAAATTTTTAGATATAACTCTTTTAATCCCTACATTTCCTTCCCACTTTTATTTTTTCTTTGCAATTTATTTAAACTGGATCATTTTTCTTTCAGAAGTTTATCACACTGTTGATTTTGCTATTTGCATCCCCATTGCATTATTTGATGTTTCTTTCTCTGTCATATTTTCAATAAACTGAATGTTAGATCTAGACAAGCATGGCCTAGTATGAATGTAATGCAAAACATATATGGTTTTCAAATTATGGGAACCACATTAAAAAAATGAACAGTATAATTACTTTTAATAATTTATTTTACTGACCCCAATATATCCAAATTATTTCAGTATATAATCAACATTAAATTATGTATGAGACATTTTTACATTGTTTTTTCTTGTATTAAAATTCAACAAAACCCCAACAAATCCCTAATGTGTGGGATTTCTATAAAGTCCTGCAGCAAAAAGTTCAGTGATTTGGGTAGGATTTCTGACTATGGTCTAGTGAAGATCTACAAATTCACTTTCTTAACTCATCCATAAACTATAAAGCTCAAAATGAACCTTTAAATACCCTTGAAATTAACCCAAAGGCTTACAATAATCCAAGAAACACTGTGAATAAGCTATTTGACTTAGGGTAATAAAAAGTGGGCATTTGTGGTATGGAATGCTCTCCATCCCCTCCCCAACTACATACACGCAGTTTGGTCAGTGCCTATGGTAGGGCAGGCTATAAGAATTGTGGCTTCCTTACTATGGTTGTTATGCCCAAGTACAGTGACATTGTTAGTAGAAGTGACAGTCAGTAGAGTACAATAATTGATGTAAATAACTTGATAGTACAACACCCATTCTGGAGGGCCAACTGTTCTGCTAACCTGAGGTTTTGGTTGTGTTTCTATAAAGTATGAGACTATACATATAATGCAACAGATAATGGAGACTTAAGAGGGCTTAAACCAGCCAACTCTGAGGCAGTTTACAAAGTCATGAAAAGGTCCAAGTGGAAAATAAAAACTGACAATCTTGAAAATAGCATGTATTTGAATGTATTTCCTTTCCCATACAAATATTCATTGGCAGAAGTTAGAAACCTTATGGCCTCAAGGTGGTTGAGCACAACTTCTATATAATCAGTTACTGACCATAAAACAACAGAGACAGGACCTCCCTTGGTGGCGCAGCAGTTGAACGCTGGGCTGCGAAGCTGCCACAGCCTCTACAGTGCCGGTTCGATCCCTGGCCGCCAGCGAGGGTCCCACACTGTGCACAGACCTCTCCTGCCACGCCCACTGCTCCCCTCAGCAGTGTACTTCGGTCCTTCTGTCCTTC